CCTTTCCATGTAATGAGCATAACCTATAAATACTAAATAGAAGTAGCGGCGGCAGAATATTCAGATTTTGTCCCTCATTTCAACCCTTTGTGTTCTACAGTTCTCTCTTCTCTTTCTCTTCTCTTCTCTACATTTTCCTTCTATTTTCGAACCTGAAATCTATTAGGGTTCAAGGCTGATAGCAGTCTTGAACTTCTACACAAATCATATGAAACAAACAAGGTAGAAAGATTGGTCATATGATCAAAAGCACCTGAATCGATAATCCAAGGGATCTTGAGATTACCTGACATGGTTGCATGATTGGCAGAAGCCCTTATACATGAATGAGCAAATGTAGAAAAGGTTGAATTCCCTGAAGGGTTGGAAGATGAAGTCACACCCTCTAGGTGACTGATCATCTTCCCAAACTTCTCATATTCTGCTTTCATGGCTGCTAGCTATGCACAAGCAGACATCTCTTCAGTATGGTACTTGTCACTATCTGGACCAGAAGCCGCATTTGCTGTCCCTGCCCTTTTACTGTCATGCTTTTTCTGAAACCGAAGAGGAACAAGATCAGGATGTAATTTACAGCACTTGTCTTTGGTGTGTTTTGGCCTTTTGCAGTACTCACATACAACCTCTTTCTTTCCAGAGCCACTACAAGTCCCTGCAACTCCTTTGGGTTTTACTCCCATATTAGCAAAGTGATCACTTATACCAGCCCCTTGAACCTGGACAATCCTTCTGCTCTCTTCACTACTTACCAATGCATATGCTTGTGACAATGAGACACTCTCCTTGGATAAAATATTCTGTTTTGTTATATCATACTCTAGGTTTAATCCGGTTAAGAACTCAAACACCCTGTTTCTTTCAACCAGTTTCTTGTAGGTCTCTGCATCATTAGTGGTGTCCCAAGTTACAGCTTCTATCCAGTCTATTTCTTGCCACAAAGACTTTAAGGTTGAGAAGTATACAGATAATGGTTTCTCCCCCTGTCTCAAATTCTTCACGTCACTTCTCAACTTGTAAGCTCTAGCCACATTTAGTTTTTGGGAATAGGTTTCGGCAACACTATCCCAGATTTCCTTCGCTGAATTCATCCATAGATAGTGTTGGCTGATCTGTGGCTGCATTGAGTTCACAAGCCGCCCAATAACAGTGTAATTCTCTTGCATCCACTTCTCATAAGATGGATCATCTTCTGGGGGAGCCTTCTTGTTCCCGAAGATAAAACCCCACTTTCCTCTACTACATATATAAATCTTTACCGATTGTGACCATGCTAGATAATTAGTTCCATCTAGCTTGATTGTTGTAAGAGCCAATAAAGAGTCAACAGGAGCTCCCGGAACCTGTTCGAATTCAGCAACATTATTGTTTTCAATCTCTGATGAGTCCATCTTTTTAACCACTTCAAATAAGATTTCAATCAACTTCAAACAAACAACACCGGATGAGGATGAACAAGGGCTGTGTTAAACCAGCCTCAAAGCAGCAATACACAAAGCTGAGTCACACCCGAAGCTGTGAGAACCAAAAAGACAGAAGCAGCACCTTGTTGACTGCACGAGACACCAACCAACTTGGTTCGGCCTTCAAGAATAAATCAGAAAACCTCCAAACACTGTGCACCCAGTCCAAGCTCCTTTTCTAAACAGAAATTCCAGGTACTTGCCAAACAGTACCCCAAAAGAGCAGAGAACAGTCCGTACTGATGAAGAGACATTTTTACAAACATAGAGTGGGCAGTAGAGAAGACCTCACTGTCAAAGATGAAAACAGCCCAAAGAACAGTCTGTACAGGGGCCCAAAAACAATCCAAAAGAAACAATAACCAGCAGTAGTGATTCCAGAGGTATTTCGGCTACTTGACAGTCCAGAAAAGAAATGAAAAACAACCCAGAAATCTGTGGATTAAACCAGACCAGAGGATAGCCGAATAGAGGGTTCGGCCTTGAGAATAGAGAACTGTTTAGAATAGATGCAGAAATCAAGAAGAACCAGCAAAAAATACTTCTTCTAAGAATAGAGGGTGAAGAAGAAGATGGCGCAAGAAAGGGTTCGGAGAGAGAGAGTTTCGAACCTTGCCCTCTTCTCTTACACCCTAACACTATTTTATTAAGTTAACCTTGAATAATTTACAAGAAGGCCCTCAGTTGGGCAAGAAATTAAAAGAACATACTATAGAAAGAATGGGCCCAGAATAAGGCCCACTACAGAAAGGAATACAAACAGTAAAAAAGGATAAACAACTTATGGGCCATTCGGCCCATCTTCTCTACATCTTTTTCACCGATTACAAAAAATAACATGAACTTCTAAAACAGATTTCCACCAAAATAAGTCCTAAAACTACTAGAACTCTAATTCAAAAACTCAAGTAACCCAAAAGGTAGAAATCCCATCACAGATTTATTAACTTTCATAAATTGGCCATATTCAATTGGTCATGAAACTTGACGTTGGTGGATAACTAATGTAGAGAACACTGATGTGGGCCCCACGGCTGTGGTCCCCACTGTGTTCGTATGACAGCACATGTAATCTTTGTTAGTTATATCAGTGTTAGTTGGTAGTTATTTCAGACAGCTTGTTATTTCAGCTTATTATTGTTTTATTTGCCATGTAAGCATTAAGGGCAATTCTGCCTTTTTCTACAATTAGTGAACATARCATATAAATATGAAGAGTGGGGCGGCAGATTCATTAGATCTGTCCCTCTCCTTTCTAAACCCTTGTGTACTTCTGCTTCTCCTCTTTTCTCCTTCTTTTCTCCATCCGAAACCTTTTTGAATTCAAGACTGACTGTAGTCTTGATCGACTACTACTAACTAGTATCCAATCAAATGGAACCAAATCAAGTCAAAATTTAGGCCGCAATTTGAGCGAAAAACATGAGACAGCTTTCTCTCCACTTCATGTTTAGGCCTAAAAAATTGCAAAACACATTGAGTTATCATCTCCTTTACATCCTGCATCACATTTTCAGCAACTCATTTGGTTCAAGACCTTCAGGTTTTTGGCCTAGTTTTGATTTAATTGTGGAGTGTGGACAATGTATAAAAGAATGTTTCTGTTTTTTTTTTCTATAGTGAGAATCACATTCTTTTTCTAGGGTTTTTTAAAACACTCCCTCATACTTCTCACCTATTGTTTTTTTTTCTTTATAAAATACTACAAGCACTTAAGCCATCAAAAAGAACCTCACCCCCAAATTACATATGCTTTTCCATACCCAACTTGCGGTGGCTTGGTTGGTAAGTTCTCTGGCTAGTTGTAGCAGAGACTTGGGATCAAATCCCATTGTCACCAGGATTGGGGGCGTTTATGGATATGGAGGATGGGCTACCCCCATTGTGTGGCTCCATGAAGCCAAAAAGATACCTCAAAAAAGAAAGCATACAAGAAATAAAATATTAAACGAAATTCGGACATTAATTGCAGAGTTTGAAACATAAATGGATTGAAGAACATGCTACATTACTCTGAATACAGACCATGGTTGGTGAAAAAAAAGAACCCAGTTACAAAAGATGGAATATGTGATGGATAAAGAAATGGATCAAACCACAACAGAAATGCTATTATTTGTACCTCCATCTGATGGCGGTGGAGGAATATCTCTCAAAACTTCCTCCATATGTTTTGAGCTCTCAGGGCTAACTATGCGAGCTACAAGACCCTCCAAGATTTCACCTTGTACCTTGACATGATCTTTTGATCCTGTACATTGATTCCAAGAGAAAAAGCAACTAAAGCTAATTATGTTTACTACTAACATAAAAAGAAAAATGGAAACTAGCTTCATTAACCTGAAAGAAGAGGATAAAGAACGAAAACTGATTTAGTAAAAATTTTAGTCAAATGTTAAGCTTCAAAAAAATACATAGATTTTGAAGAATCAACATCATACTAAACAATTTCCTTTTTAATTTCAACTATTGATCGATGGAGATTATTCGGTCTCATTTCCTCACTTTTGATTATGAAAGCAGATAAATATTTTTTTTTTAAAAGGTAAGGTAATTTTATTAAATATCATATAAAATACAAAGGGCCCGACTGAAGGGCTACATACCAGACTTAAAGGCCCTACAAAGATTACAGATCAAACAGACTAGTAGACCTCAGCTGGGTGCCCAGCACCCTGACCTGCAGACCCTTAGCTGTGGCAGTCCAAGAGACCAGTTTGCCAAAGCAGATAAAGATAATTGTACTAGCATAAGAAGAAACAAAACATTCCAAACCAGTATTTATGGACCACATAATATAGTTTGGAGGAGTTGTGAATGAAGTATCTTTTAGAAAAAAAAAAAAAAAAAACTATTCTTTCGCTTCACTTCTTCAGTGGTTCTTGCACCCCTACAAGAATACACTTTGCTGTTATTATCATCCTTCTTTGTTTCACTGCTGTGGCAGTCCTTTTTCATAGGATCGTGTTCTCTTTGATTGATGTTGTTCCTGACTCTCTTTTATTTATTAAGACATCAATTTCACTATCAAACATGGAAAAACCTGGCATTTAAACCAACATGAGAAATAGTAAGGAAAAACAAAACAGTACTTTGGATTCTTAGTTTCTTAAACCAAATTTCACTTAGAGGCTCAACCTGGCACAGAGATATCAGCAACTTGATCAAGAGCTCTACATATAGGTGTTGCAGTTCCTTCCTCACATAATGCATCATATGCAGCAAAAAAAGAAGTCACAGATTTCCTTCAGTAACCAAAAAACAACAATCAGAAACTAAGAACTTTGATCTGACAAAATAAATTAGCATTTCAGAACAAGAATGTTTTTTTTGTGAAAGTTAAGAACAACTTTTATCTCAAAGTAAACTGGACATCATTTTAAAAAACAATAATCCAGAGTGTTTTTATTGTTTTGCTACATCACCTTCCCAGGATCAATCATCACCATGTTTAATGAAAACCAAAGGAAAACGTTCTTGTTTCAAAAGAAGAACTAGATGAAAAACAAACTTGGTGATAAAAAAAAATAGGAAACCATAACTTCAAAGAAAGCCCAGCCACTTAAGTTTAAAATATTAGCTTTTATCACCTAAACCATATATTGATTCTAAATCATTGCATAACGTGTGAGAAGGACGATGAGGGATATCATTACATCTTTTCATTATGGTGGAGTAATTAGTGATTTATCTTCCCAACTTTGGTGGCCAAGAGAAACTTTCTGATGCTTCCATTTGCTATCTGTTGGATTATTCCAAATGAGCACAAGAAAGAATCTTTCAATATGAAAAGAGCGATCCTAATTATTTCTATGGATGGGAACTTCCATTTCTTTTAGTCATCCAACATAGTAAGAAAGTTGAGGAATCTCAAATAGGAATTCCTTGAAAAGGATCAGAATAAAGTCATTCTATAAATCATTTTTGTGTACCTATCATTATACTTTCACACTTCCTATAAATCCATCTGGCAGTTATTTATTGGGGAAGGAAGTCAGCATTAGTGTATTACCAAACAATCAAGATTAATTGGGATTAATACACGCTTTCCAGCATTTGCATCAATTTTAGTTACAAGTAACACCATGATTTATATCAGAGATCCTCACCTTGTTGAGAATAACCAAACATGATTGGTAGGTAGGCGCCATTTTCTACAAAAAGCAATTATATCAGGAGTAGAGTAAAATTTTGGTCTCCCATTTCCCAATTCTGTGACTGCTGTTACCACAACTGCTCAGAAGAAAGACAGTTTGCAAGCAATTAGATAAATTATATTAAAGGGACAATTCCATTCAGAGAATCCTAAAGACAAAAATTCAACAACTTTTTAATGGAAACAATTCTTCCAAATGGATTTACTAGCCCCTGCACCCAACAAAACCCAAACACCCCATGGAAACTAAAAAAAATATGGAAATGAGTAAGTTTTCTCCCCTTTACTTGTTGAACTCCAGGGCCGAAGGTTCTATTAGAACAATTAACTTGGGACTCTGCAAATAAATGTGAAAGAAATACAAAAACAGAGCATAATACAAGTAATAAAGATTTCAATCAACTTCCTTATTTACTGAAAACCCCAAGTTTTAACAATGATGGATCAAACATAAGCAGAAATCAAAGCTCAACAGTTCACATGTCAATATAAGCAATCAAGAGTTGTATTAGAAAAAGTTTCAGCACAAGAAAACAAAGACATGAAAAGAAAACTTTAGGGCCACTCGCTTCTCCTTTCTATTTAACGCTTTCAGGATCCTAACAACTCCCACCAGATTATAACCACAAACTGCCAACAGAAGTTCCCTAGTGTTGGCATTTTTTATTATCTATACTACTATATCAAGCAAAGAAATCTTCCTCTTCTCAATGAGACTCCATGTTGTAAATCTGTTAGTATAAGCCACAGGGGTCTTTTTGTCCTTTTACCTTTCTTTTATTTTATTGTAAGTTGTCACATCTGTCGCCCTAGTGTATATTCTAGTTCGGGTGCCACCAGCTTGACTTTTTGGTGCCTTTCCAATCTCTTTTCTTCTCTTCTCTCTTCTCTCTTCTCTTCTTCCCTTTCTTCAATTGGCCTGATCTGAGAGCTCTTTTTTCTTCTTCATTCCTTTTTCTCTTGGTCATAGGACCAAGGTGAAGTACCCGTGGTACTCTCTGTGACAGACAGGTGCTCATAGAAAGGGTGTTGGGTCATGTACCACTAAACACCCAACCTTCCCCGACCCACATATTGTTGGAAAACATATGAACTTTATGTATTAGGTGTTGAATTTAATAATATTTTGAATTTTATGTGAAGGATAATTGATAGTTTATGTGTTTTTTACATGTCTTAATCAAATAATTGGAAATTTTGTTGTTTGTTCATGTTATTTTACTTATTTATTGCCTATATATAACACCAAATAATAGGAATTAGATGCGGGTTCTAAACCCAACCCACCCTACACTTGAAGTAGGTAGGATAGGGTCAAGGAGGGTTTTGCATCTTCATATGTAGGGAGGGTTTGGATTCTCAAAATACAATCCGTTACGGGTCTTGGGGCAGGTATAAGTTTGGAGGTTTAGGGAGGTGGGTAGGGTTTAGAATTTACAAAACCCACTTCGAACCCACCCCGTTGCCATCCCTACCTATAAAAATGTTTCACCTTCTTCTTGGGCCTTTTTGTCTACTATTGAGAGTGTTTCTATTCCCAAGAGTGTTGCAAAAGCTTTATCTATACCTGAATGGAAAAATGTAATGAAGGAAGAGATTTGTGCTCTTCATAAAAATAATACTTGGTAGTTGGCAGGTATTCCTAAAGGCAAAGAGCCAGTAGGGTTTAAATGGGTATTCATAGTAAAACTCAAGGTAGATAGCGCAATGAAAAGACACAAGGCAAGGTTAGTAGCAAAAGGATACACCCAAGTGTATGGGGTTGATTATGCTAAGACATTTTCTCCAATTGCCAAAATGAACTCCATCCAGATTCTCTTGTCATTAGCTGCTAACTTTGATTGGGAACCTCACCAATTAGATATTAAAAATGCTTTTCTACATCGAGATTTGGAAGAGGAAGTGTATATGGTTCAGCCACTAGGATTCTTGCAAAAGGAAGTGAAGGAAAAGTTTGCAATTTAAAGAAATCCTTGTATGGTTTGAAGCAATCATCTAGGGCCTGGTTCAATAGGTTTAACTGACTCTCCAACAAATTGGGTTCAAGCAATTCTGGTCAAACCATACTCTCTTTTTCAAGAGAGATCAAGAAAAGATTGTAGTCCTCATAGTGTACGTGGATGATATTGTTATTAGAGGAAATTACAACTCTAATATCCAAGCAATAAAAGGATTTCTTGCTTCACAATTTGAAGTCAAGGATCTAGGTCCCCTATGTTATTTTCTTGGAATTGAGGTTGTTCGTTCACAAAAGGGTATCTTCATTTCTCAAAGGAAATACACTCTAGATCTATTGCAAGATTCAGGTAAATTGGGGGCAAGGCCAGCAGACACTCCCATTGATGCCAATCATAGACTTGGTGACTGTGCTTGGAAGCGTGTAAAGGATGTTAAGAAATTCCAAAGTTTGGTAGGAAGACTCCTCTACTTGTTAATGACTCGGCCGATATTGTATATGTAGTGGGGGTTCTTAGTCAGTTCATGCATGCTCCTAAGACTTCACATCTAGAAGCTACGGAGAGGATTCTCAGATACATAAAAAAATATCCAAGGTTGACATATTGTTTAAAAAGCATGCTCACTTGAAGGTAGAAATGTATACTAATGTTGATTGGGCAAGTTCAATTGATGACAGAAAGTCAACCAATGGATACTGTACTTTTGTTGGTGGAAATTTAGTCACTTGGAGGAGCAAAAAACAGAGTATGGTGGTCAGATCATGCTAAAGTTGAATACAAGGCAATGACACATGGAGTTGCTGAAGTTCTTCAGGTGAAAAATCTAATTGGTGAAATGGGCTTTAACATTGATAGTTCTATGTCACTTTATTGCAACAATAAGGCAGCCATTAATATTGCTGCTAACCCAGTTCTCCATGACAAAGCCAAGCACATTGAAATTGACAAGAACTTCATAAAAAACTTGAGAAGGGTGAAGTTTGTACACTGTATGTTAGCTCCAAAGAGCAACTAGCTCATGATGTTCTTACAAAGGGCCTTCACTTCTCGTGGCACAATGAATTATGTGACAAGTTGGGGATGATTGAATCCATGACCCAACTTGAGGGGGAGTGTTGTAAATCTGTTAGTATAAGCCACAGGGGTCTTTTTGTCTTTTTACCTTTCTTTTATTTAACTGTAAGTTGTCACAGCTGCCGCCCTTAAATATTCTGGTTTGGGCACTGCCAACTTGACTTTTTGGTGCCTTCTTCCCCTCTTCTTCTCTTCTTCCCTCTTCTCTTCTCTCTTCTTTCTCATTTTCTAATCTGATTACACTCCACTCATATTTTTCAACTTTGTTCTTTAGTTACCATTACTTCAAAAACAATGAAAATTAAATAGGTGAGGATAAAGTAGATCAGGGATTGACTAAAACTTCTACCATGAAGCAAATGTAAGCACAAATTAATGCAATAATTATAACTAAAGAAAATCCTGCAAACATGCAATTCATGTAAACCTGAGTAAAAAGTTCTGTAGAAAACACCACAGACCAGTAATCAAAGCAAACTAAGAGTCATAATTTGACATTTTCACTGGACCATAATACGTCTTCACAACTTCCCTTCACACTTAGGTGCTCCCAGCTTTTACAGGCTTCATTTGTGATTAACTCCTCAATTGGGTGGTGAGAGAGAGAGAGAGAATACCATAATCATCCCTAGGCCGTTGTCCATGGTCTCCTAGAACAGAAGTTACTAATTCCATCGATATGCACATATGATTCCTCTGGAAACAAAGTAAAAATTAGGTGATCTTTAGAATTTTCACAAAAGTTACTGCAATATAAAAAAAAAATTATTGTACACCATTCATTTCCTCAAAAGATGTTTATATGTATACAATGATCACATATTTCCTAATAAGAACAATTAATAGTTCCATTGATGTGAACATATCATTCCTCTTGATGAATGGTTGGTAGTAGGTGTATTTCAATATGAAATTACTAATATAAACAAAACAACTGCAGGCCATGAACTATGTGAATATAGACATGCGATGGCAATTCAATAGCAAGTATACAGAAATGAGCACACACCTAAGTATGCATAACTTGCAATTAAGAAAGGATTTGCCTTTAATTAGGAAGCTATTTTGGGTATAATATAAAGGCCTTTTAGAGCCTTGCTACCCTACTTTTGTGCAATTAATAAATTTTATAAGCACATCAAGAAAAAAAGTAAGTTGATTACTTTCTATTCATCTAAGCAATATCTTTGTATCTGGACTGTTCATCCCTCTGGATCTTTTTATTGTGCCTCCTTTTTTCAGGTAATCTGTTTTTCCCTTCCTTCTATGCATCCTTGTCCAGTTAAAGAAATTCAGAGTAGACCTATGCCCCATAATGTTAGGTCTTTTTGCTGATAGTGTCCAATGAGAAAATTAATAACTGTGATATTCTTCATAAGAGGAGACTAGCTGGTGTTTATTCCCACATATTTGCCTTTTCTATTAAGCTAGTGGGAAGATTTCTTACCATTTACTCCTATTCATTTGTTACTTCCATGTTGGAGTTGTTTACTCTTTTTGATTGTATGTGGAATCTTCCATCAGATATGGTTTGTTGTTCAGCCCATCAACATTCAGTTAGCCAAGAAAAAGAGGGGGAATCATGTGGCACTGTACTAGGGCAGTGGTTATATGTATGATTTGGGAAGAAACGAATGCAAGGTTATTCAATGAGCAAAGATGCACCAAGGAAGCAATTATGTAGTATATCATGGTGAGAGTGGTGCATTGGCCAAAAACTATTGATAATTTCACAGCATTCTCAATGGATGGAATATTTAGAGGTGTAGAGAAGATGGAGGGTAGTGTTGTACTTTTACTCTCTTTATTGTATATTATTAGGCATGTATATTTATGTACTGCCTTGTCTCTTTATTTTTATTTCTTTTGTAAGGGAAATCTTGTCCATTCACCTTTTAATATAAATTCATATTTCTGGGTTGGTTCAATCATACTGATCAACCCTAACAGATCTGAAGTTTCTTTTCTCTCTCTTGTTGGCTTCTCTTTCTCACAGATTAACATGGTACCAGAGCGGGTTGTTCTCTGATTCATCTGGCAATATTTTCAGACTGTTTAGGTTTTCTTTACCCTTGCAATTGATTCTTGACTGTTTTGATCAATCCAAGAACCAGTTTTCTCTGTTCAGCACAACCAGCAAGAGAAATCTTAAAACTTCAAAGGAGGTGCCGCCTGGTCATTTTCTACATATCTGAAAGTCCCATCAGCTGGACAAGGATTGAAGGAGATCAATCCATCTCTTTTGGGCAGCAGCAGTCTTTCTTTCCTTTTTTGGACTGCAATTTCAGATCTCAGTCTTGCTATTTTTTGGACATCTTCATTTGACTGTAAGAGGTTTTTCTTTTCTCTTTCAACTCTCCCAGATTGGTTCCTGAGTTTATACTACTTGCTTCAGCTGTTTTTTCTGTGTTTCATTCACTATGGGACTTAAAAGGGTGAAATCATTTCAGTAAAATGTGATGGAAGCAACTATGCACTTTGGAAGTTACACTTCAAACATTTTGTTGAAAGGAAGGGTATGTGGAACTATATTGATGGTTCCACATCCATGCCTAACGCTGCTGATGTCAAAGGACTAAAACAATGGAAAACTGAGAATGCACAAGTTGTGTCTTGGATCCTTGGTTCTGTCACAATGGATGTTAGTATCCTAATGAGGGGACTCAAATCTGCCCATGACATGTTTGAATATCTTGAAAAGGTTTATTAGCAATCAAACATGTCTAGGAAATATCAAATTGAGGTTGACATATTTTCATATGTTCAAGGAGAGAAACGGATTCAAGAGATTATGCTGGTTTCGTGAACCTCTGGACTGAATATGAGCTGGTTCACTTTGGAGATATTTCTACAGATTGTTGTGTAAAAACTATAAAGAAACACCTTAATAAGAGGAAAATTAGGCATTTTTGATGCACCTCATACCTGATCATGAAACTGTGCAATCAAACATACTTAGTAGAGAGCCTGTTCCTGGCCTTGACATAATTCTTGGAGAGTTATTAAGAGAGGAAACCCAACTCCATACTTAGTTCTTGACCTTGACATAATTTTTTGATCCACTCTTGATGGTTCCACTTATGTTCTTCTCCTTCACATACGTGGGTTATTGACTTTGGGGCATCAAAGCACATCACTGGGGCTTTCTTCGATCAGTCTTCTAAACCTTACATCTCAGTTAGCCACATATTTCTACTAATGGTGTTCTCTTCTTATATGTGGTTGTGAAGATTTATTCTATCCACCTCTCAGTCTACACCATTACATCTCCCCAAAACCTTTTTTGTGCCTAAGTTGACTACTAGTCTTATTTCTGTTGGATAACTTGTGGATGATGGCAATATTGTTTTGTTTACTCGTGATGGTTGTTTTATCTAGAACCAACACATTGGGGAGATGAAGGGGAAGGGGCGTAGACTTGGGAGGTCTGCCTATGAATGTTTCTTCATCTAAAAATATTGATAAATCTTGCTTAACCTGATGCTATAGTAAAAGTCATGTTTTGCCTTTTCCATCTTCTACTAAACATGCTTCTACACCTTTTACCTCATTCGCAGTGATGTTTGGTCGTCTCCTGTTATTTCATGCTTGGGTTATAGATATTTTGTGTTATTTATTGATGATTGCACTAGATTCACGTGGGTTTATTTTCTTCATATTAACAACAGAATAGAGGAGAAGAAAGGAAGAAGAAGAGAAGGGAAAGAGAGGAGAGAAGGGAGAAGAGAAGAAAATGTTTTTGGAGTCAACTTAACTGGCTGGCGGTGCCAACTTATATTAATATATATAAGGCAACCATAATTATAAGGGAAAGAACACTTATGCCCCTACTTAAGTTATAGAACATAAATAAAGAAAAAAAAAGCTACTTTAACTAGTCCAAACGGAGCCTATATCAGCAGAATACAAACATAAGAAATAAAGTGAACATTCCAACACTCCCCCTCAAGTTGGGACATGGATGTCAATCATGTCCAACTTGTCACACAAATTATTATGCCGCACATGATGAAAGCCCTTGGTGAAGATGTCTACAAGTTGTTCCTCTGAACTGACATATGGAGTGCACACTTCTCCGCTCACAAGTTTTCTCTAATAAAATGCTTGTCCACTTCAATATATTTTGTTCTATCATGGAGGACTGGGTTAGCAACAATATTGATAGCAGTTTTTTTGTCACAAAAGAGTGACTTAGATTTTAACTGCAAAACCCAACTCTCCTAACAAGTTTTTTATCCACATGATTTCAGAAACTCCATGAGACATAGCTCTGTATTCTGCTTCAGCATTGGATCTAGCAATTACACTTTGCTTCTTACTTCTCCAAGTGACTAGGTTTCCCCCCACAAAGGTACAATATCCACTGGTAGATTTTTTTGTCATCGATTGCCCATGCCCAATCAGCATCTATATACACCTCCACTTTCAAATGCCCATGTTTCTGGAATAGCAAACCAGCTCTTAGGAACTTCTTGAGGTATCCAAGGATTCTTTCTACAGTTTCAAAGTGAGTTGTCTTAGGGTTATGCATGAACTGACTAAGGACACCCACTACTTAGGCAATATCAGGTCTGGTCATAGACAGATATAAAAGTCTCCCTACAAGTCTCTAAACTTCTTCACATCTTTCAAACACTCCCCCTTACTGTCTCCTAGCTAATGGTTGGGTTCAATGGGTGAATCAATTGGTTTCACTCCTAACTTTTCCTGTATCCTCTAATAGATCTAGTACATATTTCCTTTGGGAAATAAAGATGCCCTTTTTAGAGCGAACAACTTCAACCCCAAGGAAATAACATAAGGGGATCTTTCACCTCAAATTGAGTGGCTAAGAATTTCTTCAGCTTCTGTATTTCAGTCTTCCAATCTCCGATGACTACTATGTCATCAATATACACAATTAAAGCTACAATTTTCCCTTTACCTTTCTTCACAAATAGAGTATGATCTGACTGGCATTGTTTGAATCCCATCTGTTGTACAGCTAAATGAAACCTACTAAACCATGTCTAAGGTGATTGTTTCAACCCATATAATGATTTTTTTTAACCTACACACCTTTTGCTCACTACCTTTGGCACAAAAACCTGGAGGTTGAGTCATGTAAACATACTCCTCTAGGTCACCATTCAAGAATGCATTTTTAATACCCAACCGGTGAAGTTCCCAATCAAGATTAGCTGCCAGTGAAAGGAGGATTCTGATCGAATTCATCTTAGCTACTAGAGCAAAGGTCTTTGCATAGTTTACTCCACACACTCGTGTAAACCCTTTGTCCACCAATCTATCTTTGTACCTTTCTACTGAACCACTAGCCCTATGCTTTATTGTGAATACCCACTGGTTCCTTCCCTTCAAGAAGATCCACCAACTCCCAGGTGCCATTTTTGTGGGAGGCATTAATTTCTCCCTTCATTGCATTTGTCCATTCAAGACAATTTGCACGGGTTACTAGATGAACTCTATCAAAGTCCTTTTTTTTCCTTAGCCGCTAATCTTAATTGGAACCTTCAACAGTTAGATATCAAAATGCCTTCCTGAATGGTGATCTTGAAGAAGAAGTGCATATGGTCTTATATGACCTAAAACAACCACCAAGGGCCTGGTTCAATAGGGTTTCATTTAGTTGTACAAAAAAGAGGTTACAAACAGTGCCAGTCTAACCATACATTGTTTGTAAAAAGAGGGGAAGGTAAAATTGCAGCCCTGATAGTATATGTCAATGATATAGTTATCACTAGTGATTAGGAAGATGAAATTCAAAAGCTAAAGGAGTTCCTTGCCACTCGGTTTGAGGTGAAAGATCTAGGTCCTTTAAGGTATTTTCTTGGAATTGGATTGTATATGTCAAACATTTGTCGTGGTCCTCAAAAAAAAGATATTATCTATAAATTACCTCTAGAAATTCATTGAATTCTGCTTGCTTTTTCCTCGCTTCAATGCCCCATGCCTCGCAAAATATCCGTCCGAGAACAAAAACACCAACAGCTGTGTATCTGCACCAGAAATAGATTTGTTGATCTTTTTCAACTCATTTTAGAAACTGAAACTATCAAACAACCAAAGGAAGGAAAAAATGAGAAAAAGGAAACAAGTTGATTAATACAAATACATACCAACAACCAAGTATCAAATTACAAGCTTAAGATAAAATCAATTAACGAATAGAAGTAAGGAGCTATCCAAATCATGGGCTTACATATTTCCATAGCTATTCTTGGCATATGCTCCACCCTCATGCCCCGCATACATGAAAAGTGATCCAGAGTGTTTAAGTGAAACCTGTAGAAGATATTTTCTATCAAATTACATGTATAACTTTTAACTAGATCACTTGAATATTAATGACACAATATTTTCTCATTCAAACACAATGTAATCATTTAACAAATAACAACTTATTTTGAACAGAAATATAATATAATAAGTTAAAAAAGGAAGTGGAACAACATTGCTTCTTTGCTTGTATATTATATGGAGTATGGGGTTTATATCTGCTCTTTCTCCATTGCCCTAATAAAAGGTTTACTTTAGTAAATGTCCCCAAATAAGCTAACTATGAAGCCAATTTGCAATCTATCATAAAAAGTTGCCTATCTTGGGTGCCTAGGCTGCTTCTCTGCTACGATTTTTTCTTATGATAGATAGAGAAGAAAATTTTATTATAGAAGCAAAAATACAAGACAGGGAGTATGAGGTAACAATGCAGCAATAAACACTGCATCATGAAGAAACATTAGAAAAAGGAGACTGCAAACTAATCAATCAATCAATACAAATCAACTATACCAAATCCCAACCCAAATGCATCTAAACCAATATCTTTGAATTCTAGGTAAGCTAGTGTCAGAGTTGGTCAAGTAAGGGTAGATTAGTCTTTTCATTATGTTTTAAGTTATGTGATGATGTGGCAATTCTGTTTTAGTTCTTTTAGTTTACGTGTCCCATGCTTAAGTAGGGGTATATTTGACCTTGTACCCTAATTATAATATAATAGAGATTATGGTCAACTAGTAGGGTTAATCTCTCTAGTTCGACAGCTTCTTCTTCTTCATTAAAACATGGTATCAGAGCACTAAATACAGGAGAAGAAGGTTCTGGTTTCAAGTACCTGGACCTGCGATCTCCTATTCTTCTTTTTCTTATTTTCTGGGCTGTGATCTAAGGTGCACAGGTAGAAGGCTGCAGCAAGTTTTTTTGGTAATCCAGGACAGCCGCAATCTTCATTACAGGTGTTAGGAAGGTGTGGCAGCCCTAGGTTAGTAGTTCTAATACTGCTGTCACCATGAATGACAGCCCTAGTGGTCGTGTAGTGGTGTTTGTGGTGTTCCAGATCCTCTACTGAGAAGTTTCAAGAGGGTTCTTGGTGGTTGTTGAGTAACAGCCATGGTGGTTAGTTACCAGTAGTGGTTTGGAGAAAAAAAATTGGTGCTGAAAGAGTGGCCAAATGTGTCTAAATGGTGGTTTACATCAAGCTCTTTGATTGTGGCTGGTTGAGAGATTGTTGTAAGTGATGTGGAGACTGCTGTAGTGTTGACTTGACAGCAGTATATTTTAGTGGTTGTCTGGTTGATAATTCAGAATTAGAAATCGTATTGGGGAGCACAATGGCAGCAACTGGAGATGGTGGTAGTGATCAGAAATCTAGTGTGATGATCCCCTCAGACTATCTAGGTGTGCAGATAAACATCAATTAAACTTAATGGTGAAAATTATGTGCCATGGGCCAAGTCAATGGAAGTTTTTCTCAAGGCGAAGAAGAAGGTGAAACATGTGAAGGAGGATAAACCATCAGCTGAATCTCCAGGGTTTGATGACTGGGAACAAGAAGATGCCCAAATCATGACATGGTTGTGCAACAGTATGGAACCCAAAATAAGTGTCAACTTTATGTTCTTAGATACAACCAAGGAAATATGGGAACATTCCAAGAAACTTTATTCTGGACAGGATAATACTACAAGAGTATATTAGCTCTATCAGGAGTATTTCAATTTACAGCAAGGAAATCAAACCCTAGAAGAGTATTATGCCAGTATGAGAAACCTTAGAAATGAACTCAACGTCTATCATCCCCTAACTCCAGATGTTAAAATTCAGCAATAACAAAGGGAGCAACTAGATGCAACCAGGTTCTTAGTAGGGCTGAAATCAAAGTATGAACCAAATAGAGCACAAATATTGGGAGGTTCTGCTCTTCCTACACTTGAGGAAGTATTTGCTCGTCTTCGTGGGATTTCATTAGGACCCACAGAGAATACCACAACGTCTAACAGATCATGTTTATTGCGGCAAGAGGAGGTGGACATGGTAATAGAGGGGGAGGACATGCATTTCAAGGAGGCCGTGGTGGTCCCATGTTTGGTCATGATGGTGGAAGTGGTGGAGGTCGTGACTCAAGGGGAGGTCGTGGTAGAGGAAGGGGAACACTACTAGAAAGTGTACACATTGTGGTAAGACGAACATACGATTAATTTCTGTTATGCTCTCCATGGCCCACCCTCTACATGGGCTAATCATGCAGTTGCTAGTGGGGGTGATGGAGTGATAACTAACAGACAGACCAAACACCTTCCACGTCTACATCTGCTTCCGGGAAGGAGATGATGAGTATACCACGAGATGAGTATGAGAGGTTCCTTCAGGCCACTTCACAACATACCACTGCTACTCTTGCACACTGAAGTATGGCCTGTCTAACATCCAAACCTTCTCCTTGGATTATTGATTCTGGAGCCTCTGATCATATGACCAGGACTACATGTGTGTTTTCTTCCCTCTGAAACTTCTACATCACACACTGTTACCTTGGCCAATGGTTCTTCTTCACCCATTGGTGGTGTTGGTAATGTTGATACTACATCTCTTTTTTTATCATTTGTTCTATACGTGCCTAAATTTCCATTCAACCTCTTGTCAGTTAGTAAATTAACTAAGGCCCTTAATTGCTCTATCACATTTTACCCTTCATCTTGTGTTTTTCAAGATCTCGAGACGGGGAAGAAGATTGGTGGGGGGCATGAGGCCGGTGGATTGTATTATCTTGACGGTGGTGGATCTTTAGTTGCACTTCAAACTTCCTTAACTCCTCTCCAATGGCATTGCCAGTTGGGACATCCATCTCTTGAGGCACTCAAGCTACTGGTTCCTTCTTTGAGTCATTTGTCTTCTTTACAATGTGAGTTGTGTCAGTATGGGAAACACCATCGGGTTTCCTTCAGTCCTAGGGTTGATAGCCGTATGTTGAGTCCTTTTGCTTTAGTGCACTCAAATGTTTGGGGTCCAATTAAAGTTGAAACCTATAATGGTTACAAGTATTTTGTCATTTTTATTGATGATTGTTCAAGGATGACATGGATTTATTTAATAAATAAATGAGTAATTGTTTTCTATTTTTCAAAAAAATCCATGTTAAAATGCGTACGCAATTTAGGGTTCCAATAAAAGTTCTTCGTTCAGATAATGGTCGTAAATAYTTTCTTACTTCCTTTCAACAATATTTGGAACAACATGGCATCATTCATTAGACTTCGTGTGCATCCACCCCTCATCCTAGTTACTTTCTTTCCATAAGAACTGCATCCTAGTTGCCTTTTTCAATCTAGTTACTTCCTTTCCATCATTCACCATATATCGTGTGCATCCATCGCAAATACTTTCTTCGTCCATATGTGTAGATTGCTACAAGGGCTGAAGATAGCTAAGCAACTAGGAATTAGGCATATTGAGAAGTGGAAAAGGTTGCAAGGGAGGTAGAGGCTGAACTCAAATGGGTTAGAAGGAGTGCAAATGGGCTAGCTGATTATCTTGCTAAACAAGGGGTTGTGAGGTAACAATTGTTTTGGGCTGCAATGTAAAGTGTGATAGAAATATGTAATAGTGTGGGAGCATTAATCCCATACACAAAGCTGTAAAACTTTATTTTAACCCTAACTTCAAATAAAATTCTCTTTTGTTGATAAAAAAAGGTAATTTATGGAGTGAAACAATCTCCTCGTGCTTGGTTTGGGAAGTTTAGTGAAGTGGTGAAAAATTTTGAAATGAAACAATGTCAAGTCGACCACTCAATGTTCAGCTATAATTCTGAAGTTAGGAAGATTTTATTAATAGTTTATGTAGATGATATAGTCATAACTAGCAATGACAGATTAGGGATTGACAAACTAAAGGCCTTTCTACAAACCATTTTCAAATAAAAGATCTTGGGAAGTTGAACAATTTCTTGGGTATAGAAGTTCCCAGGTCGAAACAAGGTGTAAACTTGTGCCAAAGAAAATATGTTCTTGATTTGTTGGACGAAACGGGACTGTTAGGTGCGAAACCAACTGAAACACCCATGAAACCAAATGCTAAATTGAGCTGTAATGTTAGGTGAAATATTTGATGACCCTGGAAGACATAGACGGCTAGTGGGGAAGTTGAACTACTTAACCATTACAAGACCAGACATCTCCTTTGTTGTTAGTGTGGTGAGCCAATTTATGCAAAATCCCCGAGTACCTCACTAGTTCTTCTTCTTCTTCTTCTAATCTCTCTCTCAGAACATAACTTGTCTGAACCATTAAAGCAGCTTCAAAAATCCTCCTTTCTTTCCAAATGCCCCAGCAGACATCAAATGGAACATGAAATAGGTATGAAAACTGGTTTCTGAAATAATGAAAAGAAAAATGTACAACTAGAATATGCAGCGCAACATAAAAGGTTATGCACATCCTCTTCCTTTTTGTTTCACATGAAATACAGAATAGTCATCTGAAATCAATGGCTCTTTAAGTGAACCACTGTTAGTACACTACCCAATAAAAATGCTGCCAAAAAAAAATACATCTACTATTGGTGGAACAGGACTACACCATATTCCTAACTTCAGAATAAACCACCTGATTTTTAATCAAATCAGCATAGAATGACCTGACTGAAAAGCTTCCCATTCCTGCTCTCATTCTACCATTTTGCATCTGGAACTGATGTAGAAATTTGTGTTGCTTCCAACCATAAAAATAATCCTTCTCTGCTATGGGTTTATTATTGAACAAGAACTGATCAAAGAGTCAATTATCCCAGGAATCCCCTTCAACCCCCACTCTCTCAAATCCTAATTAAGAAATAATATCACACAACATTGTTAGCATCATCAACTGTGTCCTTCACAAAGTCCTTAAATTACAACAGGACAAAACTATTGTATCATCACTTTGTATTTGAACAAAAAACCCTATTTCCATTTTTCCTTTGTAATTTAATGGATTGTAGCAGTCCATGCCCATAAAACTAGGATAGCTCAAACTATTTTAGAAATCTTTCAAGATCCAGTGCCATCACAGAAATTCAAGGGAGGGATAGATTTAATAATTGAGATCAAGGGTTTACTGAGATGAGAGAAGGAGAGAGGGGAAGAAGGGAAGAAGGGAGGTTCTGCATCAAATTTTAGGAGCAGCTGTTCCAATGCAACCAATCTTACACCACCAGCCCCAAGCCCAGACAAAGGAGGAGGGTTGTGCCACACTGGCAGCTGGCACTGGAATCTTTGCCAAATTCTCATGGTCATGAAATGGAAAAACAGGATTCATGTAGCCAACTCCATATAGTTGGGACAAGGTTGTTGTTGATGATGATGATGATGATGATGAACTGATCATAGATTTAGATATAAAAAGAATAAGAACATCAGAAATGTCCAAGAGAGCATGCAGTGTTTTAAAAGAAAGAAGAGCAAGGAAAAACACAAGGGCCTTCTAGCACCCAAGGTGCAAGGCGATGCACACACCAGAATGAAGCCAGGTGCAAATAGTTGAAAACTTAAAATACAAAAAACATGAATACATTAAAACATGGAATCTAGAATTGAAAAAAAAAAAAAAAAAAACTTTAAAAAGCTTATTAACTCAAGCCCAAATACATAAGCATAAAATAAAACAAATTCAAAGTGAAAGAAAACAGACATGGAACTCCCAAAAAGGTGGGTTTGGGTTAAACAGAACAAAAAATCTGTCCATGTGCCAGGTTAGTTAGTCTGACCATCCGATTCAACCACAAGTTGAAAACGTTGATTTAAACTACAAGTAGGAAGATTTGAAGTTAGGTCTTTAGGTTCAAAGAAAATAAATCCACCACTACATTATGATTCAATCACATATTTTTATTGCCTTTGTTACTTGTCTTTATTATTGCCATACGCAAATGCACATGAACATTTACTAGTTTACAAAAGAAGAAGATAGTACATTAAGTGAAACAAGGAAGGGACAGAATCACATATATAGCGACATCACTACCTCTAACGTAGCCAGGCCATGAGAGACCATCTCAATCATCCTTGTTCTAACCTGCCAGTATAGAACAAAATAATCAATCACCAGTACTCATGAACAATAATTCTCAGATGATCATTTCCAGTATCAGGAAGAATAAAGTGAACAAAAGAAGAAAAGAATTTATCATTTGAAAATTATCCTTGAAATCAAATGTAAACAAGGTGTGAAATTATCAATAATAGCCCAAAGGATTTTTCCAATGATAATAAATCAGAAGCATGTGACTTTCAATTTCTAAATCACAATCGCAATAATTCTACTAACATAAAATAATGAAAAGATGGTCACACTTGTTTTTTTATCAGTAATCAATTCATTTCATTAAGATAAAATTGAAACGTACAATGAGATTCTGTTACAAGAAACCCCTTTTACCAATTAGTTCACCCAAATCACAAATTCACAATGTCACCCAAAACAGTTGCTCCCTGTACACCCCTTGTTTTGCCAAAATATCAGCCATCCCATTGGCTGTTCTCTTTACCCATCTGGTTGTTGCCCCTATCTCCTTTACTAGTTTTGTCTCCTACAAAGATGGTCAAACTTGTTTTATCTCCTACTAAGAGACAGTTCTATTCTTTTGTATCAGGAGTGTTCTGTCCACACTCTTTCCATGTATATTGTCCTTTACTTCTTAACAATTTTTCATATTACTATTAAAAAATGTTAACAGCCTATGTGGGCGCGCATGCAAGACTAAACTCTTAGATTTCTACTTTTCCTCTATTGAATACTGAAAAGACTTTTCCAATAAAGGTTTTCTGCAAAGTGCAAACGCTGGGTTAGTTTCTATTGTACTAGAATTTGTGCCATTATATTTAATATTCCTAATCCAGCTTAGTTACAAGAACATCTGGAGCAACAAGAAGAAATGGTGATCCATGGAATGGAACTTGTTAAATGAACAAACAAATAGAAGGGCCAAATCAAAATCATGGTGTAAATTGATTGAAGCACCCACTAGAATGTAATGGTCTTTAAAATTGTATAAATTAATGTGGGCCAAGATAAAGAATGCATAGAGATATAAGAATGTAAGTAATTTCTAAGCTATATGTATTAAGGAATTTCATGATAGAGGAATCATGGATCAACATATGACAATAACTCTACTGTTCTTACTCCCAAGAAAGCTGGGCTGGAGTCCAAGAGAATATCATAGAATAAAATCACTTATTGACTGCAGGAAAAATGTCAACACATATGGAAATAAAATATTGCAAGTATAAGAATAGCAATCCTATATAGCACGAATAGTTTCTTTATAAAAACAAGTAAAATTTTACTCTTTGATGGAATCACTCCCTTTCAAAGTCTACTGTCCTGTATAATCAGACTTCATCGGTTTGACTGACTGCAATATGGAGTTTTCCTTGGCACAAGTATTAGTAGTTTTTAATCTAGAAAGGAACCCCCAGACTATGCAATACAAGCAAAATGTAAGTATGCTTCCCCTGTTTCATGTAACTAATTAACAGCATGGGCTGGAGAGAGACAAATTTTCATCTGTAATCAAAGTAGGAAATTCTGTTCCAATGTGCTACATTACCAAGAAGAATAGAGAGGCAAGATTAATACCTCTTGGTCTGACTTCTCATTCTCAAATTTTGGATAGAAGGTGGCTCTAATTTGTGCCGAAGTGTACGTGAAGTTGTCAACGGAGAAATTTGCACCCAGAAGACCTTTGAATAATTTATTCAATCCAGTTCTACTCTTGTCAACTTTCATTTTTTCGGCATAATCTTCCCCAATATCAACAGCCACGGAAGTTTGTTCTGGAGTTGCAGTTTCAACTTCAACAGCCATAGCTCTGCACACTGTTCCATGTGACTTATGCTTCAAGATGGCTGTCTGACCTTTCACAGGAGCTTGATTCGAGAATGGAACGCTCCCAAATTGTATCGGTGAGATTGGAGAAGAGGCTTGTCCACCAGTTTCGTTAATACGCAACGCAGTCAGCCTATCTGCAATAGATTCAGCATTCGCTGGTGTACCCTCAGTGGACATAGATGGTCTGTCAAATTTTGGCTTCTCTTTCCATCTTTGTTCTCTTATTCCATCTTTTCCCTGCACAAAGATTCAAGGAAGGTTAGAAAATATTATCAAGGAAAAATACCATTATCCTTCCTTCCCTGCATTATTAACAAAAAGCTGATAGGAGTAGAGGGAACAGAATAAGGCAAGTGATCATCTTAAGCACTTCATTAGTTGATCATTGTATTTCAGACCATAAAGAAGAGGAACCAAGGAAAAGATTCTTGAAGATTAAAATCCAGCATTCAGATAACATTTCGTGAATAACAACTAAAAATCATCGTGTTTGAGGAACCAACATCGTTTATGAGAAATCAAACCCATCAAAATTCAAGGGAAACAACGGAATCGTCACAAGGAGAACACATTGAACATAAAAGGCGCTCTAAACAGAATAAGATCGTCATCTTCATCTCCTTATCCTGCCTAAGTGGACTCAATGGAATGAACGATGTCCCTCCACTTTGCACTAAATAAGGCCATAGAAGAAGAGCAAGATGGCCATAACAACAACGACGACGACAAATAAACCATCACCAGTTCCAACTCATCTAAGAAGGTAGTGATACATTTCCTAGATAATCCTTCGAATAAACCGTAATATAACGAAAACTTGTATAGCCGAAGCTTGTAAGAGAAACTGGTCGTCGTACCCTATGATTCGGCATTGATGAATCAGATACAGAGCTGGAATATCTGAGAGCTTCAGCTAAAGCAGTAGGAGCTGATCAAGAAAATGAAGAAGAACGATTGAATAAAAGAAAACTCTGGAGATTGATTGTCCTTTACAGTGCTGGCATTCATAGAGAGCTCCTTTGGCGAGAAAGATATATTATATACACGAAATGAGAGGAGCGAGGTTTGCAGAGAGAAAGAGAGAGAGATGAGGGAGAGGAAGAGTAGGTCAGCAAAATAACGGGTCAACAAATCTCTCATGCTGTTGATTTTGGTTCCTCTTTACTTACGGTACTCTCTCGAATAACTCCTCGCTCTCCGTTGTGTGTACACTGATTGAATGACAAAATGATGGAACTGCCTCGTGAGTAATATTGGTTCACGCAGGGAATTTCTTGGTTCCTCGCGACTTGTTACTATTTTGAAGTTCATAGTGGCAAGTAATGGTTTCATTCACCTGCAGCTGCAACATGCCAAATGGATCGTTTGCAATGTCACCTGTTCGAATCCCACCTTCACCCGGGTTTGGGTTATGGGCTTATGATTTGACTCCGGATCTCTTACCTAAAGAACTTCATCCATGTCTATCCACAAAACACTATTTTCTGCATTTGGAATATCTCTCCATGCATAATAATATGCAAGAGGATGAGATATTCTCTATGTGTGATTATGTAAGGGACTTGTGGCCTTATGCAGTTTGGGTTGGGGGCGGGCTTCCCCTATTTGTGTAGTCCCGTGGAGGATGGAGCAAAAAACGGTTTCATTCGGTTGCACATCTCTCCTCGAGAGTGCTCGCATCTTCAGATCTCCTCGCAAAAAAATGCGCCAAAACGCAAAAACTCGTCGGCATTTGACAAATGTTGGCAAACTTGGCATGTGTCAAGGTAAATACGGGCTCGAGAATTAGGCCCTGTTTGGTTAGTAGGAATAAAAGTCTAAAATTGGAATAGACATTTTCGATTCAAGTGTTTGGTGGGACAAAATTAGAATCTCATTGCCATTTTTGGGTAAAATTGTATTCTCCCATGGACATTCCCTCCCCTTCTCATGGGAATGAAATCCCATTCTAGCTAATAATGATTCCCATTTTGATTCCTCTCTAAACCAAATGGATTATGGAAATAGACCATTCTGATTCTGATTGTGAGGGATTTCAATTTTGATTTCAATTGCAAACCAAAAAGATCCTTAATGGTTTCATGGAAAACTAAGACTAGATTTGAAAGAGTGCAAATATAAATATATACAGTCTGAATATAAATTTAAAAATACAAAATGCAAAGCTTTGCACTGTACATATTTGTATTTGTACTCTTTCTAAATCGGGCCTAAATGAAAAATAACAAAATATACATTACCCAAGGGGGTATTCTATAATGTGAACCATTTTTATTGTTGTCAGTTTCAAAAACAAATCAAAACTATTTAATTTGAAAATAATTTATTTTTCAAAATAAAAACACAAAAAATATATTCTTGATTGTGTATATATTTTTTGTTTTCATAACTGAACTAAAAAAGCATGTTCTTGAATTGGAATTTTATGATTTTAAAAACATATTTTCATATTTTTTTAATCTCATGTTATATAAATCATATAATTTCTAGGTTAAAATTATAAAAAAAAAAAACTTTTGATTGTTCCAAAAATATATATTTTTGTTCATGCGACGACTCCAAAAAACTAATAAACACATTACCTTATAAATATTTAATATTGAAGCATATTTGGTCTCTTCATCTATAGCATAAGCTAGAATCGGATCCACAGTCCACACCACTCCCAATTATGACACATATCCAGCTCTACACTCTAATTTGTTTTGCCTTTGTTTTTGCATTTTCTTCTTTATGGACTAGCGCAACACCTAGCCCCGCTCTGTTTTTAGAAAACTCTGTTGATCTGAATAGTCAGATGCCCTTGATTCAGAATAACCTTGGTGTATGGATAAATATATGGCCGATAGCATAGCATACACCACTGTATGAATATCTTTGACTTGTCTTCCATCTCAGGCCTGTTTACAGTCAATCAAACTAATGCCATATCAGCAAATTATTTGCTTGGTGTGGCCAAAGTTTGGCAAGATAGTTGAGAAAATCTGGGCAACTAATCCTACCTTATGGAACACTTATCCCTTGATCCAAGAGGTTGAACAAGTCCAAGTGGTTGGTAAATTCTCGAATAAAAAGGGCTATCCCTTCCAACAGTAAAATTTGGTACCGTTGTGTGCTAGAAGACCCAATATAAATATGGCACTCTAGTCTAACAACAGGATACAAGAAATATCATGAGAAAACCTCCTTGGTTTATATTCATAGTTTCCGGTTTCGTATTAGAGTAACTGAGCAAATTGTCATGGGGGTAGTTCTACAGCGGAAGAAACCCATGCGGCATCCTAGCCAAGGCAGGCTAGGACAAGCCTTTATGCGCTTAGAGGCTAGGAGTTGCCCGATGGGATGGCTCCACCAAAGTCAGTAGCACTAGATCATGACCTCAAGTCCAATGGCCGGGGCACTCTCCT